TTTATTCATTTCAACTTTCCGATGATGACAGCTCTCCCCGAAGGGCAGGGTTACGTTCCTCGAAAGATTGTCCCGTAAATTACAGAAAATGTGTTTTTCTTCCCTTTCGGAGAGTGTCCGCACTCCCCGATGAAGCGGTTGCTTTTTCACTTTAGACACGGTGTTGGATGGCCATAAAACTTCGATCAGACTGTCACTCATTTCTCTCCCGCAATCTACCACCTGGAATGAGACAAGATCCAATTTCTCCGCCCTCCAGGCTCCGTTCAAAGTATCACCCGTTTGTTGTTGGTTCGACGATACGGGATACACATAATTGGTCCCGAAACGCTCTATATAAAAATTAGTTTGAAATAATCAGCCAAAGTTTGATTGTAATAAGCGATTCCAAGCGTAATTATCCCAATTATATCAATCGCGATAATTATACTTGTGAACAAACGATAAGAATTCTTACAAAATTCGTACAAAGTGGATCTTTTCATCGAAACTTACTTCACTGGCTTCATTATTTTTAGGTTTCTATCCTCGTTTCTTAGTGGTCTTTTTTTTTCTTTTTTTCCGAAATCAAAATCATATTCTAAAATTAAAATTACGTTTATTAATAATAATAATTATTAAAAAAAAAGTAGCAAAAATAAAAATTACTTGCCTTCAGAAGACATGTTTGTTCTCGAATATTCTTTTAGAAGAAAGAATCTATTTATGAGGCCAGCAGGAAAGTCGCGCCCTTTTTATTCTATCTCGTGGAATTTTCCTCGAGCTATTTCTTACTGCTATAATTTGTCAAAACCCATCAACTAGCCCCACGCTCTAGAAGAAGTCATTCTCCCCACTATTCATTTTTAAAATAATAAGTTTTCGATTTAGGATGAGAAGTTTAAATAATCTTCACATAGTTTATTAGTCTATAGCAGTGTTTTTCAACCTGTGGGTCGCGACCTTCAGGGGGTCGCAAAGCCTTACACGGGGGTTGCGGGTAAAAGAAAAAGACAAGTGTTTGTGGGTCCTACACTACAATAAGAAAACCTACAATTTCAGTGAGAAGGCTGTGCCTGTTTATCTTACAGTACAATTGGTTTTTCGATCGATATTTAAATCCCAACCCAGAAAGAAACTGAAATACGTAGTTTTTAAAATCACTGATATAGTTTTAATATGGCCCTGGGAGGTCGCCAGAATTTTTTAACTTGTAAAGGGGTCGCGTATTCAAGAAAGTTGAAAAACACTGGTCATATTTGTAACGTTGTCGATGATATGATAGAAAAAAATTAAATAAATTAGAAAAAGAAAATTAATTCAAAAGATACGATAGAAAATTAAATAATTTTTGTAATTCTTATACTGAAATTAAAATATATACCGCAAAGTGTATCGAACCACTACTAAGTTATAAGGACATTATAAGAATCCTTAGAAAACACGTGTACTGTATATCTTTTCTTGAAGCGTACCTTTGGGGATAAACATTCTTGTTGCTCTTTCTGTAGTTTAATTTTGTTGTTTTAAAATTCCAAGCATTAATAGTTTCTTAGAATTACTTTGGAATAATAGAACTAAATACTGTACTGCGGTATAAGTAGCATATTTGCATTTATTCTTCTGTACTAACAAAGTTATATGTAGAAAGAAATAAGAAATAAATAAAAAAAAACTAAATACGAAAACTTTATCTTTCTTTTTTCACTTTTCAATACGATACAGTATTCGGTTATACATCAATCTTCTTTTTATTATATTCTGAAGGAAATTTTGGATAATTTGGCAGCCCCCGGAAAACTTCTTATGGACCCCCAGGGGGCCGCGGCCCCTCTGTTAAGAAACACTGCCATAGTGAAATAATTGGATTCCACTGTATATGATGATTTTCTCAGTTCGTAACTTCTCAAAAGAAAATGTCATTCTACCACTGTTTCGATTCGATAATTGTAAATAGTTAAAAAAAAAAAGAACTGTTTATCGCAGCTCTGCGGTGTAAAGTGTAGAGGGAGGGATGCCCATTTCGTTCGCTTTCCTATCTTTTCTCCGCTAAGAATAGTTGAAAAGTGGTTTAATCTGGTTGTGTGTTAGACAATTTCGTTTCTTGTCCAGTGTTTCCCAACCTTTTTTGTGCTATCCCCACCTAAATCTTTCTAAAATTCTTATGCTCCCCTAACATATACAGCGGATATTCGGTTAACTTAAAATCTGGACGAGTCCATTTTCGAATTGCCCCTCTTAAAAATCAAACTGCCCCCCTGTGGGGCGTGGGCCCCACTTTGAGAAACACTGGTCTAGTCTCTGAGCGAACATTGGTTCTAAATTATGCCGCTGTGGCAAAGCCAATAGACGGAAGTCGATTTGTAATATTTTCTGATCATAATTACAAGTTATGCATGCTTTATTCGTAATTACTATTAGTGAAAATAAGTTAAATTTTTAGATAGAAACCTAACTTATAAATGAATTCTTTTTCATACAAAATGAATACAGTAATGTTTACACGTACGATCATAAGGTGGAATTACAAATAAAATAAAGACAATTTAAAAGTTGATATTTTCTCAATAGGAAAAGTGCTTCTGGAAATATTTTCTGGCTAAGAACCTCTACATTTCCTAAGTTATGTCAGAACTGTAAACAAGAAATTATAATAGGCTACAGTGAAACTTTCATTAATAAATAATAAAGTTTAAAACAGTAGTTTCTTGATCAGTTATTGCATTACCAGTTTCATAATTAATAAGGATATTTTCAAATTGCGATATTTTGCGCCTAGAATCGATCTGTTTCTTATTTTTATCATAAAAGTACCACTCTGAGATTGTTGTATGTTTAAAATTTTTATCTAGAATCGTACTATAATTGTTTTCTTAAAATAATTTATCAAAAATCCATTTATTTATTATGTCGGCTAGTCCGAGAAATCCATCAGCAATGAAATAAAAGAAAAAATTTCTAGGTTTCTAATTCTAAGCCGGTTCGAATAGTAGTCAGTTATCTAGGTCAGCGATCCCCACCTTTCTAACCTCACGGATCATTAAACTCAATTTCGAATTCCATGGACCACTATCATAAATTTTTTAACGATACAAACATCTATAGAATAATGATCACAAACGGTCCATTCTATTTTACTTCATTAATATAAAAATTCCATGTTTAATTTTTTTATAAACGGTCTTTATAAACGATACTAACTACTAATTGATTCAGTCGATTGTGCCCATCACTAGCATGAAGACTGAAAATAGGAATGGGGAGGAGGGCAGATTGTAAAAAGTCGAACAATACTCTTTATCTGTTAGAGAAGATAATCTGGTTAAGTTGTCAATCACCATTTATCATCATACATATTGTCATTAAACTTCTGTCTTATTGTTGGAATTAAACTTATGGTACCAAAAAACCATAAACTTTTCCCGAGTTATTCATTCTACAAGAACCATAGTTCAGTAGTAATTAAGATAAACTTAAAACCGTCACGACAACAGCGTTTATACAGTGAAAGTTCAAAGGTTGTATCACGAAATCGATTTGCTGAACACTTTAAAATAGGGCTGCCCAATTCATTTTGGAGGCGAGCTATAATTTCAATTACATGTCAGCCGGCGGGCCACCTAGTGAATCATACTTGCTTACACTCATGATTCTTCTATAAATGGATAGGTATGTAAATCAAACAAAGCTTTAAGTTGTTTTAATAATACCTAATAAAAAATACATCAATGAGACCTAAGAAGGGGCTTATTAGCTAATAACTTTTAAATATTTGATGACGACAATTTAATTTTAATACACAAAAGTCGACTCAAAACTAATAGAACAAGTGTAATAAACGCGTAGGTTAGGTATTAACGGCAGTGTGGCGGTGACTTAAGTTCATTCCGCGTTCGACCAATCACGTGGCGGTTGGCGGTTGACAGCAGTGGTCGGGCAAATTCAAATGCGTTGGCGGGCCACTTTGTGGCTCGTGGGCCTGGGTTTGGGCAGCCTTGCTTTAAAGCAGTGTTTCACAACCTTTTTTGTGCTGTGCACCACCTAAGACTTTCTAAAATTCTTTTGTTCCCTAACATATACAGCGGCCATACGGTTAACTTAAACTCTGGACGAGTTCATTTTCGAATTGCTCCTTGTGGGGCGAAGGCATCACGTTAGGAAACACTGCTTTAATTAAAGTGTAGGAAGATATTCGGTATTCTCGCACTTATAACATCATTTATGACTTTAACAGCTTTATGGCGTCTTAAATATAATTTTATATAAATCATAAATGCCTCTTTTGTCGCATTACTAGTGTACCTCAAAGGACGCGACAGGGTTGTAGTAAATTTTAAACGTTTCTCACCATAGCTGTAAGAATCTAAATATATGTTAAACTTAACAGATTGTCCGTCATTTGTTTTCTAACTAATTCCTTTTAGGACCAGGTGTTCGTGAGAATTTCCAAAATTTACAACTTTTCAGTCACTCTCATTGAACTGGAAAAATTTCTGTCTTTATTACATCTAATGTTACCAAGAAATCAGTCCCCATTGTACTCGGCTAGAGAAAGTTCAGTTATAAGTAAAATTCCGACTCTTGCAGCAGGGTTTTATTTATATCCCTAATTCCCTAATCACTTAATTATTTAACTACTTCTTAGTAGAAATAAGTTGAAACCGGTTACTTTGTACTTGAATATATGTAGTCTTGGAAAGAAGAGGAAAGATTAAGTGAAAAATTATGACAACGGATGCATTAATCATAAATTTAACCCAATAAATCGTGTGAGATTAGAACTTTTGCCAGTTTTGATTATGAAAGTCCCGACGAACAAATCTGTAAATCCAAAAAAAAAAAAATTGTTTAAAATACAATTTTATCTAACAATTGTTGACACAGCCTTAAATTTCATTAAGGAAAGATTTGAAAATCTAAATGAGTGCAATAATGTGTTTAAATTTCTTTGTGAATTTGGAAAAATCACTGAAGATGAAATCAAAAAATCTTATTTTGATTTAGATGTTTCTCTTTAAATTAACAAAGGAAGCACGAGAATTAAGGATGTTGATGTCTTGAGCTCTTCAATGAGCTGATTATATATAGAAATTTGAACAGTGGAGTTGTAAAAAATAACTTGATGTCATCATTTCCCTAAAAATATGTTCGATTTCCCGCAAAAAAAACAGCATCTAAAATAGTACAATAGAAGCAGAGTTATTCAGGATAATCCTTAACTCTTTCCCTCTCCCTGCGGGGGAAATTTCAAAAAATTCCCTTTTAGTGTGCATTCTCATGACGTACCGTACCCTGACTGTACCGTACATTCTCAAATTACGAAAGAAAACAAAATATTAAGCGAAAATTCAATTAAAAATTCTGAAAAATTCTTTCCGATAATAAGTTACTGTATAAATATTTAAATAATTAAAAATTCATGACGCGTGGGAAATTTTTCGATAAAATCCTTTAATTTGGGGAAATTTTGGAGCTACTTTGGGGATAATCTAGGGCCTTGTGTCTAACTACACCAGGAAACTTCGTAACTTCCGGTCGGGTGACATTCGAAACATTAGTGAGAGAGAAACCGCATGTAGGGTCGGTAACGATATTTCGCGCTGTTTACGTTTTCGTATATCTCTATTTTTGAATTTATTCGTCCTCGAAATGGCCGATTTCCTTTATAATTTATACAGAAACGTTGTCGCCGAAGAGAAACACGTAAATCAGCTGTCGAACGGAAATATTGGAGAATGTCTTCAATGGATATTGGAAAAATATTCAAATAGTGGATTAATAAAGGAGAGTGATGCTATTAACTTCGATAAACCCGGTAACAGATGCGCTTACGTCTATCTTTACGCAACGTCCCACTCCTGTTTAGTTGCCAGGACTTTCGAAAAGTTTCGTGAATGTAATCTGGAGAGATACATCGAATGGATGAAACGATTAAGATCATTTTGGTCATTTAATATATGCTCTTTAGGTGCCGGGCCGGGCACCGATATTGTAGGCATTCTGATGTTTTTCCGACATCGTTTGAATCTGTTGTCGGGCGTGAAGGTTAATTGTACCTTGATTGATAAATATTCTTCGTGGAAAACGATATTTCATAAGATTATGAACAAATTGTATAGTGAAAATGCCGACCAGTTTTTAAATATAACAACGGAATATTTAGCCGAAGATTTATTTAACTGTTTATCTGGAAACGTTCGAGCAGCCATTCAAACTGCTGATCTAATTATTATGACAAAATTTATATCTGCAATTAGCGCTGATAATGAATGCTTCGACGTGTTAAAGGTATTTATTTACTTTCTTTAATTATTTCTTAAAAATTTAATTCAATTTTTTAGAAATTTATATATGTATTCAGGTGTGTATCTGTATATATACTGAATACGTGTACTGTATGATATAATACCGCACACATATATACTATATTATAAACAAAACATTAAAGGTGCAATAAATGAAAATTGCAGATTAAAGGTTAACTTTGTCACTACTAACAATTAAGTAAAAAATCAAAATGACTTTATCAGGAGTAAATGGACTACGACTGGCTGAGTGGATGAAACCACCAAACAATGGTGGTAAGTTCAAGTTTCCATTACTCTGTATTCCCTCTTGCCAGTTTTGTGATTTTTTCCTTGCTTTAAGCAATATTAAAACATATTACACAGGTCTGCAAATTTCAACTAATAAAAAACTGTTTGGACTTTGAGATGTGATTTTTACTAACTATGGATACAACTAAAAACAATCTATTATTATATACTGGCACAATGAAGTGACCATTTAATCAACACTTGACAAGTTTTCAATCTTTATTCAGTTAGACTGAATAAAGATTGAAAACTTGCCAAGTGTTGATTAAACAGTCACTTCATTGTGCCAGTATATAATACATAAACAACAACACGGTTTCGATAACAACAATAAAAACAATCTCTCAAATGTTTCCATCATGTAACATTTTGATACAAAGGCTTTACAAAGTTTTATCAAAAATTCACAAAAACATATACACATGTATAATAAAGTTTTAATTTATTTTAATGCAGAAAAAGTTACTAATTTCAGTTTATTAACACATATGGGTACAAAAATACACCATAAACCACTAATTAGCTTTGGTGCTTATCAGTTCTGGTCTTTTTCCCCTAAAACTGTGTTTTGTGGACCTTATCTTACGTTCTGCATTTAGAATGTCCCTGTGCATCATTGAACAGTAATCTGCCATCATACTGACATCCCATCGTCCCTGATATCTTTCCATTTCCTTACTGTCCTGATGGAATCTTTCACCTTGTTCTTCACTTACAACCCATAGATTTTCAGGAAAGTAATCCAAGTGCAAGTTCAGAAAGTGTTCCTTGAGGCTCATATTGCAGCCCAGTTCACGGTACTTAATTAACAAGTTCTCTACTATTTCTTTATAATCTGGATTTTTATTGATTCCTAGAAACTTTGAAATTATTGCCTTAAATGCAATCCAGGCATCCCGTTCTTTGTTGTTCATTGCAGAAAGAAGTTCTGTGTTTGATATTAATTTCCTTATATCAGGTCCTGTAAATACACCTTCTTTTAGTTTTGCTTTGGACAAGACTCGAAACTTTTTGCATAAATACAAAAAGCAGTCTCCATCCTTTGGTAAAGACTGAAATGTTTCATTAATCCCAGCTTAATATGCAGGGGTGGCAGCAGCACTTTCTCTGTGTTCATCTAGCTGCTGCTCACTATTCTTTATGCCAGGTTGTAATTGTTTTCTAGATGGCCATTGCTCCTGAACCCAATGCGTTTAACAACATAATTAAATTATGGCTACTGAAACGTGTCACTAATATGGGTGAAAAAATATGTGAAGAAAGCATCAATTTATCCAATAAAAATGGTTTTGTAGAAAAACCTTACATGATAGAGAAAAACCAGTAAAATTTTTGAATTCAGCATAAAAAAAGGATATAAGTCAAACACTTTTTCTACTGCAGACCTGTGTTATATATAAACACAAATAAAATAGAAATCACAGTGTTAATGTGTAATTTCTTTAATTTTTTGGAGCATGTTATAAAAAATAGTTTGAGGATAATGTATAATTTTAGTGAATTGTAACTTCTGAGATTAATTGGTATTTTTTTAGTACCTATAATAGACAGGGGGCTTACATGAAAATTGACCAAAATATATTTATTATTAGATCAAATTGATAAACATCATAATAAGTAATTGTTTCAGAATATTAAATGCTACTTTCTTTTAGATATTACTGTATTGTTTTAGTGTTTATTATTAGTAGCTTATGGACGTATTCAAAATCTCAGCATCAATGCAGTGAGATGCTGCCGGAAGTGATGCTGTGATGCTAGTGCTGGTGTTTTCAAAGGAATACAAATGCTGACTACTGGGGATATTGGGAAAGAAAACCAAGAAAAATGGTGAATGATGTGGACTTCTATGTTATGTTAAATTTATTTTTGAACTTATTTAATGAGAACAACGTAATGAAAAATGAATATTTCAAAAATAGAAAGAAGAATGAAAATTTTTAAATTTTTGTGGGAGTTTTAAATAATTAAACCCATCCTAAGATTACAGTTTAACAAGTAAAACAAATTATGTGATGTCTTATGTAGATATACTATTAATAATATATTTAAAAAATTATTAATATACTAACTGAATGTTAATTTATTCAGGATTTATTTGTCAAAAATAAATTTAAAATTGCCAATGCAAAATAGAGCTCTTGCGAGCCTCACGGTAGCTGTCATCTTGTTTGCTGGAGTATCAAGCACCAAAAAAAGATCTTTAAAGTTTGCTGGAAGCATCCAGATGATATTTGAGATTTTGAATACACCCTATCCTACACACTTAGCTGCTTGCTGATAAGTGCTAGTGGTTTTCTTCTGTAATACAGCAGCAACAAAACTTCCCATTTTTATTAATTTTTGTTAATGTATTATTTAAATCAGATTATCAAGATACCTTCAAAAAATTCCTGGTATTTTTTTGACCACTCAAATTTGATTCTGGGTCTTCCAGAACAGTAGGCTGACACTTTAACTGTATCAGAAATCTGGCCAGAAATACAACATACCTGACATACTTTTGTTACACATATCTTAAGTTCTATTATATCTATTATAATAGAAGAGCAGTAGGCTAACCTTAAGAGCAAAATACACTTATTAATATATTACTATAGCAGATTCTTTTTGTTTCAGAATATATTTGAAAGTATGAAGCCAGGAGCATTTTTCCTTTGCATTGATAATTCAGGAGGAAGTGCCTACAAGATAATGCGTAATGCTGCAAGAGAAGTTGGATTAAATCCTATTTTTGGACCAAAGTTACATATAGATTTTCAGATAGGCTACAGATTGAAGAAAGTCAGATTAGATATAGCTGAAGGCAGAAAACTCTATGGAGCCAGTCCACAAGAAAATTCTAAAATCTCTGTTGTAATTTATGAAAAACCTAATCAATCAAATAATTTCATATTTGGAACTATGGATAAGGCAAGTTCCTCAATGAATGCTTATCATGATAACCAAACTCCTTTTAATTCCTATTATGAATATCCAACACATCGAACAAGTTCCCCAATAAATACTTATAGTAATAGTCAAATTACTTTCAATTCCTCTTATGAATATCCCTCTCCTTATTGTACAAGTTCTCCAATTTATCATAATCGTCAAGCTTCCATCAATTCTTCTTATGAGTATTTATCTCCTCATCAAAGAAGTTCGTTTTTTGAATCAAGTTGTGACTATTCATCAAACAATTTTAAAGATGATTCCCTAAATGACTCATCATTCAGAAAAGGCAATAACATGATTCTCAATCAATATGATTATCCTAGGATAAATAACAGTAATCAAATCAATTGTTTACCTTTAAATCCATACAATTGTGAATTTGCGTCACAAAATAGTATTTCTGATTTTTATCCACTGAAAGAAAACTGGCATTCAAATCAATCAAATAATTTTATCAATTTTGAGGATAAATACTCCCAAATATGGTGCAAAAGACCAGTTAGTAATTTTTCAAATATATCATCATCATCATCATCATCATCAAACTATAACAACAGTTATATGACATTAAATTCTAGAAAAAGAAAGAGGACAAATTCAATACTAAGTGAGAGTAATAAAAGGCAATGTTTTAGATTATAAATAAAATAAAACCCAGAAATAAGACTATTTTAGGCTTACCATCATGTCAGCTTACCCATGAAAGTTAATATCACAACTGCTTTAGTTGTGTACTTAGCTGAAGCTCCATGAATAATAGTCCATAAATGTTCCCTAAAGTCATATTTCTGGTTTCCCTAACAAGAAGTTTGAGTTTCCTTTTATTTAAATATGATATGAGAAATGGGGTGAAAATATTGGATCAGTTAACTCCTGAAAATTTTTAGCTTGACTCCAATTCATATTTTGCCTATTTTTCTATTATAATTTCAAATTTTTTTTCATAGTTTTAGATTTAAAGAATTGTAATTGCTTTATAAAATCCAAAACCCAAAATAAATCTATACTTTCTCAGTTACTTATAATTTTATATTTTAATTAAAATAATTTTTGACTGTTTTATTTGCTATTTTTTGTAATAATAATAATTTATCTAAAGTTTTTTCTACATAATAATGAAAAAATAAATGTGGATATTGCAAATACAAAATCATTGTAATGTTATTTGGTAAATATAAAAAATATATATTTACTATTACAATAAAGTTTTATAAATAGAATTCTTTTGATGTGAAAATATACATAACACTGTTGACATTGTATTTTTTATTAACAAATAAATGTCCACCAGTGGCCTAGTGTATAAAACCACTGCACACTGGTGGGTCGTGAGTTCGCACCTCTAACAAGCTGGCCACATGGAGTTTTCAGGATTTTCTTTGTTTGTAACACAATTCTAAAACCCATTCGCTGTTTCCCTGTGGTGGAGCTTAACAGTGCGTCTAGGGGTGCGTTTATTAATAGCGGTCGCTTTACGTCTCCGCTACTACGGGAGTGCGCTGCTGTTTGTAGGCATTTAGGAACGACGGTGAAAGAAAGATGGCGGTGACCGCACTATCGATAGTATCGTGAATGAGGAATCTTTAATTCTAAAATATGAGCTTTTAAAGGCAAAAGAATTGTAAAATTTAACCATAAAATGGATTATTTGTTAGAACAGCATTCAAAATAGTCACGACAAAAATTAGAGTGCCGGCTACCATTCGAAAAAACACATCACCGCGTGCACTAACTTGCGCTTTCACAACTTTTAAATTTTCATTCGTAAAACCACACAATGGACCCCGAAACGAAACTATATGAGCCATGGACAGACTCCATGTTGCTTTCCACCGCAAACTGCTACAAGCGACTGTTTTTGCCGTTCGACGGCGCGCACTCAGAACGGAATTTAGGAACGTGTTCCGCAGGAATTTTTAAACGGATGTCGCTCGCGCGGAGGAATAAAAGAACGCACCCTAGGAATCGAAAGAATGCCGAGGGTGTAATTGTGGCATTTTGCAAATGTCGGCATTTTCTAGTGATTTTTATGTTAAGTATTGCGTAGTCTTAATATTCAGTTATTGTCAGATAATTCTAATAAAATTTTAAATGATTAAGAACGGAAAACGATTGGAAAATCCAGAATCAATCTTTGGAAAGAAAGACTAAAATTCTCCATTTATATGTGGATATCTTTTATTGTGTAGTATGAAATAAATATGTAATTTTATTTCAGAAAAAGTTAATACAGTAGAGCATCGATTATCCGACTCAATTGGGGACTCAGGTTGGTCGGATAATCGAAAAGAATGAAAAAATACATTATTAGTATAGTACAGTCGACCCCCCTATAAGATAGAGATACGTTCCATTCTCTAGGAATCCGCTTTCTTACGAATCCTTCCAATCACAACCCGACACGTGCAAAGTTTACGGACTACGGCTGTTTGAAAGATTTTCTTCCATAAAATTAATCGATTCTAGACTAATCCGACTCAACATTTCCAAAATACGTATATATTTTTTGGGAATAATCCGTATAAACTACGCTATAAACAAAAAATTGTAGGATTACTTACCGAGTGTCACCATTCGACATTGCCATTGCTCAACATTGTTTTCGTCGCGGAACAGCTCAGCAAAGAGCGGCCGATTTCTAACAACTTATTTTTCTGTGAAAACTTCGTAGAACTTCGGAGACATCATTAATATAAATAATTTTAATCGCCGTTGAATAAGAAATGTTTCTTTCACAAGAAATGTATAAAATTACAGTACTGTATTAGACTTACGGTACCTAATTTACATACTGACAGACGATAGTTAGCGTAAAAATCTCCGTAGCGTGGCGCCACGCTAGACGGCGGAAATTATATATTTAATTATAACAAAGTTACAATAAGTTAATATATAATTATATATACAGTACCTAATTTATATATAATTAATATATAATTATATGTACAGTACCTAATTTATATATAATTTATATAATACTGTCCAGACGATAGAAATCTCTCCGTAGCGTGGCGCTACGGACGGCGGGAAAGTAGTTCGGCTTCCCGATGACGTTTGAGGTGTTTATAGGGAACTTTTACTATTTTTTACGGATACCGGTAGCAATTTTTTCGTAGTTTTATAGGAATCGTAACTATAGGGACCGTAATTATAGGGGGTCGACTGTATATTAGTATATCCAATGTAATTAGTATATCGTTAACCTACTTCGCGTTAAATTTTCATCGATGTTAAGCCTAACAAAACTTTTTTAAAAAATAATAATCGTCGCTATTGCATCGTTAAAAATTATTTTTAAATTATTTTATTGCTCACAAAACAAACAACCACTCATAATTAAAAAATTAAGTCTCGTTTAAATACTGGTCTCTCTTTCATGGTCAAGCCAGTATTGCCAGCTAAAACATGCAAAAATTTAACAAAAATAATATTAAAGTAGCCAAGACAGCCAAATATTGTATTGTAGCGCCGCATCACTAGCGGACATTTGAAATTTGCCGACTAGAACGGTTGGTTAACTGATGTGACGGTTAATAGGGGATCGGATAATCGATGCTCTACTGTATTACAACACTACTCAAAGAAATTACACTTAATTCTCTTATTCAAATAATTATCCCATCACGTCATTTCTGGTCGCCATCTTTGGAAACTGTTTAGTTGGCAGACGCGACCAAGGACTATATACTACAGTAGTTTAATTAAAGTCCTTGGACGCGAAGACCGAGGTAAAGTTAATTAATGAGACGATACAGTTCTTTCTTCACGCTTCTCGCAATCGGCATGCCTCATAAATGTTTTAATTCCACCGTATTCAACACTAAATGAGATTCGACAAATGATGCAACGTGCCGAACAAATATCATAAGAGACGTTGAGGCCGACATTTTCAGCTCAAAACGTGAATGTCGGACGTCGAGCGCCGCAATCTGGCAATTCTAGAAAGTTGATAATAGAGTTCGCTACGTTTAGCACGACGAGTAGAGATTCGGCTTAAACTTCAGTTTTTTGTGTGTTTTGGGTTAAAATTATGACGTATTTTATTAAAATAATGATTATTTAAGCATTTACGAAGAATATTGTAAAGAAAGACGATTTTAATCCAGAAATTTAATTATTCAATTTTTTGCAAGTGATATGAAGTGCCTATAGTATTTACATATATTTCTGTTCATAATAACTTATCATAATTCTGTAGGAGTAGGTTTGTTCTTTCACAGCATCTACCATCAGCAGCATAATACGTTTGTAAATTTTCTAAAAATGATTTCCCGAGCTACTTTTCGGATTTACATAAGCCACTACTTCCCTCAACAAAAGTATGAGATAGTCTTATCGTGCGGTAGGAGACGACGCTAACTAAAAATATTTATTTAGTGTTATTAAACATCCCATAAATACTTTAAAATAGTTTATTTGCTGGTAACATTCGTTGTTGTTAAACGTTTCCGCCATTTTTCAATAATATCCCATGAGTCAGTGCGCAACGTGTTTTACTTGGAGTTCAAACGTCAAACGTGTACTTCTGCTTGCCGTACAAGTTTAACGTTTGAACTTCGGCCGCAACCTCTCTATTATCACGAATTAACCACTTTTTAAAATCTTTCACTGGAGCCACAGAGGTTGCGGCTGAAGTTTATCTGTAAGGCTACATCCTACGTGGCAGCGTCCAGCGACTGCAGACGGAAAGAATCTTTGTACGCGCTTTCAACTCGGGAGCGACTTCTGTCTAGAGCGGAATATGGCGGCAAGAAGACTTCGTCGAATGCTATTATGGAAAATATGACAAGCATTAAAACGGTAAATTTGACAGTTAATTGTTATCACTAACTAGATACACAACAAATATAAAGAATCTTTAAAAGTTTTTTTAACTTATTATTCTATATTCTTTTTTTTAACAAAATCAGAAATTATTAAATAAAGTACATACAACATATTTACACAATTTATTTGTCATTCTGTTTACATTCATCTTGAAATCAGCCATTTTCTTCGTTGGAAGCGGCGATCAAACTGGCTTGGTAGCTGCTTCCTGCACGCGCGTGTAGAAGCATCATCTGATGGTCGCTACACTCTAAACGCAGTTACTCTGGACACACACATTTGCTTGAACTGGTTTGTCCGCTCCGCTTGGAAGCGCGTTTACGCCCGCGGTCGCTGGACATAGCCTAAAGCGTGAATATCGAGCGCCGCCATCTTGTAAGCCTAAAAGTTTGAAAATGGCGTTTGGAACGTGGAGCATGATTTCAATGACATTCCAAACGCCATTGTCAAACTTCTAGGCTTACAAGATTGCGGCACTCGACGTTCGAAGTTCACGAAAACTTCGGCCGCAAGCTCTCTTATGTCTAGACCGACTCATCTTAAAAAATCAATTTTTAAAACTCAACTGCTGTAAAAATAGCACAAACAATTGTTTTTACTTAGAATTGCGTGAATTGCATTTGAAAACTCAACACATTACAGCATCATCTGTGAATCAGAACAAAAACTCTAATAATTATAATGATAAAACTACTTTCTCATTATAAGTAAACTTACTGAATATTAAAAATAATTATATATTTCGATTGAAAAAATATATAATTTTGTATGTTTTAAACTGTTTTGCCGACCGTTGGCCTGGATTTGAAACTATGTATCTGGATAATTCAATGTGAATTCGCTTATTTTTAAAAAGCAGGCAGATTTATAAAACAGAAATTAATGAAATTATTAAAATAAATGTACAATTGATTATCTTTTGTGCCAAACAACACAACTTTTTTTTACTTTTACGAAAAAAAACAAAATTTTCTATAGTTATAACTCCGCCCTGTGGGGCACTAAGAGGGCCTCTTAGCAAGCCCGTTATAGATTCGGCCAGGTCCCCGGGTGGTGAGAGACAAAGCCCGACATATCCGGACGGACCACTTTCCGAAAAATTCCCGGGGATTTTTCGATCCCAAGTTCCCCAGAGCGGTAGGCTGCCACCTTGACAGCTCGGCCTTTCCAGAGTAAAAAAATTACAAGTTTTAATTAATTGTAACTCAAGGATTAAAAATTGCAAGCAAAATTAAATATAAACAAGTAAAACGGTAAAGCCGTATTTGGGACAAGATATGTCTCAGAGACTCACTACTAAGCGGAATCACTTTGATGCTCAAGGCGGATTTCGTTCTCATTCTCCAATCTTTGGTATCGCTGGTTTTGAGCGCGAACTTTCAAATGTATCGTGGNTTTTTTTTTCAGATTCGTTTGTCAAAATTCGATTTCGCAACGTTCGCATTTCCAACTTCCAACGCATGCGCAAATCTCCATTTCTGCCTGTTTGTAAAGAGTGTCGCCATTTTGAATTTTATTTTGACTCGGTTCTCGGTCCCCCGAGTACCTACAAGTCTAGTTTTTCTTATGCGGACATGATTTGGACACCTAATACTCTGTGCCAAATTGCAACTCTTGACATGTGCAACTCAATGCAACTCTTCATACCTATAAGCTGGTTACCCAGCAGGCAGTACGATTTTATAAACAAGACATACTCTCGTCAATTATTAAAAATTACAGTACTTTTAAAATATTAAAAATAAAAAAGATAATTTTAAGGATTTTAAATACAATCTTTTAAAGTCTTCATTACTTTAAAAATGCACGCATTTTATCCTTTCCAGAGAATTAATTTTTTTGCATAAAAATTGAGAATGTTTTGCAAAATATATTTTCTCAGTAAATTTGATTAAAGTAGTTTATATTATTTTGTAAGAATTTAAGTTAATTATATTATCAATGAATTCATAAAAATGAAATTTTGATATAAAGCAGTTTATAAACTAATTTGTGTTACATTATAGAGTTTTTAAAAAAAAACTTAGAAAGCTTTCATAGTTTTTTTAATTTAGAGTCTCTTTTAAAGACGTTTTAATATTCAATATGACTTGTGTAGAATGTTGTTATTATTGTATCCATTCAACTTATTTTGGCAGTACATTAGAAAGATTAGAAAAAGTTTATCATCTTACTGGCTTATTTTATAAACTCTATAAATGAGTCATAGTTTGCACTGTTGGAAGCTATATTGATGACATCGAAAGGGAGAAAATTATATTTCTAATTGGACAAAATGGATAAGAAAGTAAAAGTTAGAAATGATTTTTTAAAATAAAACTTCATGAATAATAAAGTTAAATAAATAAATATACGATATACTTCAATATCCAGTTTATTAACATCATTTACGTAAAATCCAAAATTTTATTACGGTTACGAATTTAAGTGGAACAACTTTCTTGTTAAACATCTTGTTTTTCCATCTTGTACATTTTTACATCAGTTGCAGACGGTAAGTGCAGTCAGCAAGTGATGTAAAAATGTACAGTAATATCTCGGTTATCGTCGGCGTGCCCACATGACCCTAGTGTTAATTTTGCAAAATCACGCGTTTTCCTGCTCAGTGTGGCGTTGTTTTTCGTTGTGTGAATATTATCCCACGCATCTAGTCAAACAATGGGCGTATTCAAAATATCAGCGTGCAGCCAGCATCTCTGTTCAAAATCTAAGATAACTTCCGGTTGCTGCCAGCGTTTTTCTCGGTGCTCGA